GCTCCAGCTCTGTCAATATTTTGATCCTACTAGTAAACTTAAAAATGAGGTTTTCCTTTATTTTTCTTCTCTCTAAATTTAATCTGTTTTATAAGCCTGTAGTTTTACTATTTCAGTTTCTTACATAAGTCGAAGTGGTTAATTTACCAGATACTTCAATGTAAGCATTTGTTCTTGAATTGTCAAAATACAGCTAGTTACTGTGCCAGTCAAGACCCACTGCAGCTCACCCACCAGTTTCTTGTGGACTGTTTTCCATACTTATGCCTTTTAATTGCTGGATTCTTGGTCTTTATTCTCTGTGAGAAGTAGTAGATGATATGATTTATCACCTTTAAATCATATTTTGTCTTAGTTCTATTAGAAAATTTCATAATCCTGAGATGGATGCAACTTTGCCATTTATAACTAAAAATTTGAGAAAGATTTAAACTTCTGGCAAGCCTTTAAATTTCCCAAGTTTTGTCACATTTATTGACAGCCCATTCATTCCGGTAAGTAGGGCTGTCTAGTTCACTTTTGAGAAAGCCTGTGATTATGTTTATTTCCAATGTTTCTCATCACTAGATTATGTTTTCTGTTATTTTTATAAAGAGATTCCTTAGCTCCCTTTGTACACGTACTGGTTTATCTTACAGCACATGGTAACCAAGCTTATGTGAGAGTGAAAGGGAAATTTCTAGGAAACTATAGCCTTTAGATTGCTTCTTACTTGGGATAGTACATTTTTCTAGCGCTTATAAAGAATAACAACATCCACTTTTTTTTAAACTGCACTTTTGACCTTATTTTTTATCGTATGTAAAACAATAATTTATAAACATAATATAAAAACTCATCATGTTTTTTTAGACTTTTGATATTATTTTATACTGTACAAACTTTATTAAATCAGATTTAAGCTTACATGACAGATCTTTGCCAGTGTTCACGTCAGCAGTTTTGTGTACAAACACACAGTGCTGGGACCACACGCTGTAACTGACTGTAAAGACCCTGGTCGTATGCGTAGAAGCTTTTACTTTCCTTTGGTTACTGTGTTTTGTTTGTGACGCATCTTTCACTGTGTAATATTTATTGCTCTAAGTCACGACATAAACCCTGTATTAAAATGCACGATGCACATGATTCTCAATCATGTCGTTTATGGCACTGAGATTTTGACTCTTAAGATATGTGTGGAAAGGAATTCATTACTCAGTTGTTACTAATACAGACATGCAATTTAAATAGGTAAATTCTCACTTTCTGTATTTTCTGTAGTAAATTCTCAGTGGAATGAGATACTGAAGTTTCACTGGATATCCTTCACTGTCTGCATAGATGTGTCCCAGTAGATCAGGAATGACCGTGACCTTCAACATGGCACACACAGAACACCGCCTCAAAATGGTTCTCATATCAATTATTTTTAATTTTTAACAAAGATAATCAGGAAATAGGAAAACTTCATAATATATTCTTGATTTAAATTTTTAAAGTTACTATAATTTCCTGTTATAAAAATACAACTTGGACAGGTAAAAATACTTTATAAATATAGGATTCAGTGAAGTAATACCACAGGCAGCTAAGTGTTTTAATAGCTGTGAATAGGCATTTTTGTAGGAAAACTTATGCCAGCCAACTTGTGAACAGTATAATAAATAATATAGCAACTTTTATCTCAGTCTTCATGATAACAAAAAGGAAATATTTTCAATGTAAAGTTATGTTTATTATAAAAGAAGCTGTTAAATCCTCTTTAACATTGAGATTATAGTATAAAATAATACAGTATGCTTAACTACACTTTCTGTAGCCACTTGTAAACTATATTTTTATTTTTGAAGTTTGTTTACTTTTCTTTTAGAAGCTCTTAAAGACACAGAATACAGAGCCTTTAAAGAATAAGATTTAACAGTAAAACAGGACGGAAGTCAACAGTGTCTTGCGACTCAGCAAGTAAAGCTTGGACAGTAAATTTGGTTCTATATTTTCTGGCTGCTAAAACAAAAGAAACAGTTTTTGTTTTTTTTCATAGTAGAAAGCTAACTTATCTACAGAAGCTAGTTATCTCTTGACATAAAAGCATGAGGGTTTTTATACAGGACAACATTTCCTCAGAATTTAAAAAGTTGTCAGATGCAGCAGAGAAAGGTCATAATGGTCCGTCCGAGCTCAGTGAAGGCTGACTTGCTGCAGCCAAGGTACACTGGGCTCGACAGCATTCAGAGACGGAACCAAACCAGATGATCAATAGCTAAGCTGCCTTAGACTGCCAGATATTAAATGCCTTCATTGAACTGTCGATGGGTATTAGATCTCATTTATTTTGTAGTCAAACATTTTGCCTATATTTATGAAGAAAAAAGAATAGGACTAATAAATTTTAGTCATTCTTACCAGAAAAATGCTAATTGATGTATATATAGTCTTTAACATTTGAAATCAGTGGGAAAACGTTACAAATTGCTGAAGCGAAAGTCAAATTTTTGACTTGGCGCCCATAGCTCAGTGGTTAGGGTGCTGGCCTCATGCCCTAGGGCTAGTGGGTTCAAACCCAGCCTGGGCCTGCTAAATAACAATGACAACAATAACAAAAAAATAGCCGGGCATTGTGGCAAGCGCCTGTAGTCCCAGCTACTGGAAGGCTGAGGCAAGAGAATCACTTACGCCCAAGAGTTTGAGGTTGCTGTGAGCTGTGACACTATGGCACTCTACAGAGGGTGACATAGACTCTGTCTCAAAAAAAAATTTTTTTTTAACAATGTAAAACGTGAAATTTAGCCATCTTGTGAAAATTATGACACAGTATCGGCCCTGTTACACAGTAACACACAATGCCCAGTGTTAAACACGCCTGACAAAGTGCAGATCAGAGGCATGAACATCTCCAGTTCAGAAACAGCAGATGGTGCCCTGTGTCACTGTCCTCATTACCCCTCACCCCAAACTCAACACAGATGACACCCCCAAGTGCCCACCACTTAACTGCAGGGAATCCAGCAAGCCCCAAATCAGAAATGTATAGGGACAGAGTGTGGTAGTCCTCTCCTTCAGTTGGGGGAGGAATATCCAATCTAAAGGTTTAACCAAAAATGAAAGATTTTCACATTTCATGTCACAAAAGAGATTTAAAAGGCTCTTGTGACAACACCTATGTCAATATCTTTTTTGTGTTTTATAATTACTAGGCATTAAATGAACCTCCTCGGTGTCTGCCTCTGAATGTTTTTATAGTCCTGCTGTTGCCTGATGAGGAGGCCGCCTTGTTTCGGGAGTGTGGTAACGGATGAGACAGGATGGGAAAAGCTTGGTTGTGATTCCAGGGATAATTTCTCTCTCAAAGAAGATTATGCTGTCATTGCAAGTAGAGTCTGCTGTACCGTCTTTTACTTTATTGCAAGTAAGAAAAATAATGACTGGAATCACACTGATAAGACCAAAGAGGAGCCTGGAGTTTTGGGTGTTTTTAAAAATCCAAGAAAGATGATCTGGTCTCATGTCATTGGGGAGAAGACTGGAGCCCAAAGAAGTGAAGCGAGTGCCAGCCTCAGACCCACCTAGGACCCACGCTCTCTTTGTCCTGGCGCCTTGCTGTCGCCAGCTGAGAGTTTTAAGCCGTCTAATCAGCAGCCCAGATGTTTCATGGGCTGATGATTTAAAATTTAATTTATTCTATAACAGTTATTTTCAAAGCATTATTTTTACCTTTTTTTCTTTATATAATACTGTGTTAATTTTATAATTTTGTTGCCATAATTCCTGAGCACCTGAAAACTGCAAGACAATTACCATGATGAATTCTTAATAAAGTGTTTGTTAACAATGTATAGGAAGCCAGATAGAGCTTCATGTTTTTGCTTTTGTGATTCTTTTTAAATTCAAAAGAAACAATATGTACTCTAGAAATTAAACACTTGTGTGCTGTATCTCCTGAGTTTCAGAGAATGATTTGCGTTCTGAGCCACTATAAGTGACAAGTTGACCTCAGATTTTCCTTCTAGTCTCCTGCAAAATCAGTTATCTATGTTTTATAGTCCTTTACTGATAACAACTTAAAGTTCTGAATTTGTTTTAACTTTTTTCATGTATTTCTGCAGTTTACTTAGTGACCACAAAGCCTGGGACACTAGTGAGCAAGGTCTGTGTTTGACTTCCACCGTCCGAGTAAGTCCTTTAAAAGCCAGACAAGAACTCTCACGTGCTTAGTATGGGATTGAACACTTTATGGGAAAGAATTTTGATCCTTGAAGTGGAATTAAAAACTGTGTTTCAGTTTTTTTGCTTGCCTCAATTTCTAAAGTCTCTAGAAGTTGCACAGAATTTAGACCACTCGTGGCAGTAGATTCTGTATTTCTTTCCAGGGCAAAGTAGACATTTTCTATTCAAAATAAAACAATCACAGTTATGATAAAAAAAAAAAAAAGTCAAAGTGAGTTTTTACACTTAGAACCATCTTCACGTGAAGGTAAACTTAAAAAAAAAAAAAAAAAACAGAATAAAAGCGTTTTGTCTTAGGTTGCCTGCAGGAGCCACTGACTGTCTCCAGTCACTAAAGAGGCAGCAGGGGCTTGCACAGAGGGGTGTCACAGGCAAGCTTTCCTCTTGAGATGCA